TCCTTGCTCCTGCCACGGCAGTGTGGTGCAGGGTACCGTTGTTGTGGTCCCCTTCCCCAGGGAGGGAGAGCCTGCTTTCAGCCCTCACAGCCTCCCTTCCTCCCCTCTCCTCGTTGCAGTATGACGATGGCAGCGGGATGAAGCGAGAGGCCACTGCGGATGACCTGATCAAGGTGGTGGAGGAGTTAACTCGGATCCATTAGCCAAGCAGGGATCCCTTCCCAGACCCTCTCTGAAGGCTTTGCCCTCCTGCTCTCCTCCTCCCTGCCACTGTCTCTCAGCCATGGGAAACCTGTCCCTAAGCCCCAGAAACCACAGCCTACCTGAGTGGAAATGGGGATTTCGTAGAACGAAAACCAGTTCACTGGAGACCTGGGCAAGGGCTGAAGGTGAAATATTTTCTCCCTGGATTTTTACCAGTCTCACATGATTCCAGCCATCACCTTGGGCCACCAAGCCTGGATTGGTGCAGCCAGTTGTCCTCCAGGGAGCAGTTTTGCAGCTCTTTGGCTGAAAGGAAGCTCTGTGTGTGTGTGTGTGTGCGTGTGTGTGTGTGTGTGTGTGTGTGTCCCACACTCATGCATCGTCCTCACTATCTTTTTATTTAGGTTTGGGGTCGGGGAGGGTTGTGGGTAGGGGGGAGGTGGGGTGGGAAGTGTTCGTTGTCTTTGAGGTGAGAGCTTCCTTCGCTTTCTTCTGTTGCCTCTGAGAGCTTTGTGTCTGGAGGGCTGACCACCAGGCCATGGGTTGCCTGAGGGTAGTAAGACCTGCAGATGGTGGATGATTTCCAAGCCACAGCCTTTTTGTCTCTGGGGAACTGCCTTCTTCAGCGGGAAGGAGGTGGGGGGACGTGAACTGGTGGTTAGTTTCTTGAGTTTTACCAAATAAAGTAGAGTCTAAGAAGAAAGATGCGTTTGTTTCTGCTCTTCTTTCCCCGTCTGGCTCTCCAGCATCCCAGGCGCTCTGTGCCCAGGGTACTGCAGGCGCCGTTCTCTCCTTCACAGCCACTGCAGCGGCCCCTCGTCCTGGCTGCTGGAACACTCCTTTCAGGTAGAGAAGTGTCCTCTGTACCCCTCGTTTGTCATGTGGTGGGATCCCAGGGATGAAGGGAGTCAGGTTTTTGAAATTCAGCTGTCTTGGGTTGCCTTTGACTCCAGTCATCCTTCTATTCCCAGTGGCCTGTGTTAGTAATGCTGCTTGGGCTGCCTCTCCTGACGTCATTTTACAGCCAGCTGTACGTGCAGCATTCAGCCAACTAGCCCCCTAGGCACTGCTCCTCACACTCCTCCCAGCTTCCTGTTGCCACATGCCCTTCAGATTCAGATTTTATTTCCTCTGGTTTCATTGAGTAAACCATGGGTGTCTTAGGTTTGAAAATACAGGAGTAGGGCACATTTGGGGTTCACCCTTCTGTTCAGCAAACAGCCGGTCTTCTTTCAGCCCAGTGGGTCAGAGTGTCCGGGCCCAGTTTCCACCAGTGATCCAGTGGGAATAAAGGCTGCTCTGTCCCAACAGTGGAGCGGGGTTGATCCCAGGCATATTGGCTGGCTCCTTTAAGACCAGCCTTTGATACGATGTCAGGAAAATTGTGGTTTCAAGTTCAAACTGTGGTTTTGGGAGATTCTAGCTTAAAAGGAAAAGAGCAAGGAAGCATCTCTGCTTTGGGGGTCTTCAGGAGTAAGTTTCCTTCCCTGAAGGCATTCCTTGAGTTTCATTACCGTTCTTTTACCCTTACTCTCCTGGGGTTTCTGAGGGTGGAGGATAAGGGTCTTAAGGGAAAAAATAATCATCTCTCAAAACCCACAGTTTGAACTTGAAACTCAACACTGTGATTTGAATTTTTCAAGTCATGGTTTGAATTGAAAAGTCCTGCCCCCATGCCAGAGACCAGCTTTAATAAGGCAGGCATGCAAAGGCCTCCAGATTGTGATTATTTAAAGAATTTAATCCTAGATGGGAGAAAAACAGAATGTGGCGGGGTTATTATTCTGGTGCTTCTCAGTGGTTGGACCTGTAGCTGCGGAGACCTGCCACGTTCAGGAGAAGGTTATTACTTAGCGGTAGCTTCAGTCTTGACTTTGGAAACCGGAGTGCGTGCAGCTTTTTGTTTCCTATGATCTGGGGTATATTCACTCCGGATTGAATTTCAGCAGTCCTTTGGAAACTGACATCCTGCTGCCACACTCCCACATCCCCTCTTAAAACCATTAATCACCTCTCCCGGGGTGAAAGGTTGCCTTTGGAGCTTTGCTGCAGCCAGCTGGAATGGCTCCTCTCCATGTAGGCGCTGATGAGCTCGCCTCACTCCCGGCCTCTGCACGAACGGACCTTTGGGAGAATAATAGAAACACTGACTCATCACATGACCATTTGGAAGGGTCACAAGCCAGAGGCCTCCTTTCTACAGCCAACAACAACTTGAATCCTCCACCCTTGGTGGAGGGTCCCTTTTGTTACTGAGCAGCCACAAGCCACAGAACTGGGGAAGAAATACTGAGGAACCGAATGGGCCTGAACTTGTCCTTGAGGATGGATGATTTTAAGTGAGCAGCTCTCCAGGTCCAAAGTTTGAGAACCCTTGAGGTCACACAAACCAAAACACAAAACAAACAGAAAATAGTGAAAACCAAACTGAAGAAGTGAACTTGGTATGACGAGCAAGGTGAATGCCATAAGGTCAAAGAAACAGGAAATGAAAGAAATGTCAGGGGCGATTTAGAAAGTTGTTTCTTACAAAATTCACTGGTAGGAATTTACAGATTTAAATATCCTGGGCTTCTCCTGTTGAGGGTACATAAGGATTTTATTTACACACAAAGTTACATCTCAGTCACTGTGGCTGCCCACTGACCCAAGTCTGCCAGACTTACAGGGTGAGATGGAGGGGCTGGACTCCGTAAAGTGGTCAAGTTCAGAAAGGAGGTAGCTGAGGTGTACTGGAGCATGGGAGAAGATGGCATGAAGGGTGACAGGTGTGTAAAAACTGTCCTGTGCAAATGTGTTGAGAATTTGTGGGTAGCTTCTAGATCCAGGAAGTCAGAGCACCTATTTGACACTGATGGTGGTCTAGATAGGAATGATAAGGACGGTGGTGTGATAGATTTTGCAGGCTCGAATGAGGGAAGAGTTTTCTGTTTATCCCTATTTAATAATTCAGGGCTATGGGATTCCCCTGGTGGTCCGGTGGCTAAGACTCCACACCCCCAAAGTAGGGAGCCCGGGTTCCATCCCTGGTCAGGGAACTAGATCCCACACGCCACAACTGAGACACAGCGCAGCCAAATAAATATTTTTTAAAGAATGATTTCAGGGCTAGATTTCTGACTATGTGGCCACTGACAGTGGGCATCGAAGCACTCTGTGAGTGGTGATGAGGAATGCAGTCTGAATGACAGGAGGAAGTGCATCTTTGGATGTTTAACATAAAGGAAAGATGCCCTAAGATTCTGAGGGTCCTCAGGACTCAGAAAGGACATAAATATGGAAGTGGCATTCATCTTCCAATAGAGTACTTTGGCAACCTATTAGCTGAAAACGTGTTGCTCAGATGGGTCAAACTAACACGACGAGCTTATTTAGTCACTTAAGTCATGTCCAACTCTTCTGTGACTCCATGGACTGTATCCTGGTTCCTCTGTTCACGGAATTTCCCAGGCAGGAATACTGGACTGGGTTGCCATTTCCTTCTCCAGCAAGGTGAGGTAACCACCCTAAATTGAACATCTGCAAAAACTCAGCCACACAGGTTCAGGTAAGGAGATCAGCTTAGCAGTTTGTGTTCAATAACAACAAAAAGACATGACAACAAAGAGCACCGGAGGCTTCCCTTTACTGTAAATCTTATGTAAGGAACTGACAGCATCATTGGCTTGTCAAAAAGGCCAAGTAATATCAGGCTGTGTTAATAGAAGTATGGCATCTGGAAGGGAGGAGGCAAGAATCCAGACCACTGTTGGCACCGTGTTCATTTGTGGCCACCAATGTTAAGGACCTTAGTGACAGGCTGAGGTCGCCAGTGGAAGGGCTACTGCACAGGCAGAACCAAAGGCACGGGGGTTATTTAGCTGGGAAGGAAAAACACTTGCCAACAAATGGAATTACTCAAAATCGGATTGGGCTGCCTTCTGATAGGTACTGAGACCTTCATCCCTGCAAGTGTGTAAGTAAAAGCTGGACTGATTGGGTCTGGGTGGTGAGGGGAGGTTCCTGCCCAAAGCAGAAGGTAGAATTTAGTCAGCCTTTCAGCTTTCTCCCAGCTGGATGATTCTGATTTACGTCCACCACCTGCTCACCACCTCCCTGCCTTACCATCTCTGACTGGCCTGGGGCAGCTGCTGAAGGGGACAAGAGGAGTCTGTGGGTTCAAGAGTCGCTAGCGCCCCCAACCAGGGAGCAGGGGAACCCACTGACCGGCGCACCCAGGGAGGGTTAGGGTGCAGACCTGCTGGTAGGCTGGGGGCTAGCCTAAAAGTGCCCAGCAGCGAAAGGACCCAGCGTCCCACCTTCTCGTACAACACAGGTATCTCGGGCTCCATCGCGACCAGCAGTTCCCAGGGCGCGCAGCCTCCAGTCTTGTTCCCGGAGTCTCTTTCCTCCCCCGGCCTCCGTCTGACGCCCACAGCCCTTCGCAGGAAGCCGACTCCCAAACCCGGGCAGGGGGTGTGGGCCGAGGACGAAACCCCGCCCCCAGGGGTCCCTGATCTTTGCCCCCGCCCCGGGCTCCGCGCCTCCCCAGGAGGCCACCGGCGGGCCGGCGGGTGCCGCTGCCTTTTGTGTGTTTCGAGGTGCAAGAGTACCCCCCAGCCGTCGGCCGGGTCCCCTCGCGGCCCCCGGCGCCTCCTCTCGGCGTCCCCAGCCCCCCTGCTCGGCTCCGCGTGCCAGCTCGGGGCTCGCTGGTTCGCTCCCCGCGGCGCCAGGAGGAGGGGCGAGGGCCCGCAGCCCCCTCCCCCGCGCGCGGCGCCGGAGCCCAGCCGAGCCGGGGGGACCCGCCGCCGCCGGTCATGTGGGCCGGACTGCTCCTCCGGGCCGCCTGCGTCGCGCTCCTGCTGCCGGGCATCCCGGCCCGCGGCTATACCGGGAGGAAGACGCTGGGGCACTTCGGGGCCGAGAGGTAAGCGCCCCGCACCCCTCCCCTGCGCCTCCGCCGGAGCGCTACCGGCGCGGAGCCGGGAGGCACGGAGGGGCGTCCCGGAGCCGCGGGTCCGGGCACCCCCCCACCCCCGCCCCGTCCCCTCCCCGTGGCACTGTCGGCGCGGGCGAGCCCGGGAGGTCGGGACAAAGGGACAACAGCTTGTGGTCCGGGCGGGTGGCCGTCCTGCGCCCCTGGCCGGGGCTGTCCTGACTGGGATCTGGCGGGGGAACCGGAGATCCCGACGCTAGGTGAGCACCTCTGAGTACCGTGAAGCGCGGGTCCCCGGCCAGGGGCCCGGGGACATGCCAGCTGGTCTTCGGACTGGCGGGCTTTTCGCTCCCAAACGTGCCCGTGGCTCTGCCTAGGCAGTGCCTGGCCTGCCCCGCGCGGGCTGGCTGCTCCGCGGCTGGGGGCTTTGCCTCTGTCCAGGCTCTGTGCCCGCCGTGGACCTTGGAACCGCCGGGGTCTCTCTAGGTTATGTTTCGGTTTCTGCCAGTGTGTGCACGCGGGCGGGCGGGGGTGGGGTGTTTGTCCCTTTGCTCTTTCCCGATTGATGTCTCCCTCCCCTCGTGTCTCCTCCTGGGAGGGCCGGGTCGCCGCGGGCGGAGCGCGTGTGTGCGTGATGCTCAAAGCGAGGGAACACGGTGTCAGCGGGCGGCCTGGCCCGCGGCCACGGCCTCGGGGGCGGGGGGCGCGCAGGGGGGGCGGCCCCGCCAGGCTCGCAACTCGCACGTGTGCTCGGCAGCCTCCGCCAGTTCCTGCTCAGATCCGCCCGCTCCGCTGGCGTGTCAGAGCCGTGCTGCCTGCCACCTGTCTCCCCGTCACCGCCCGCCCTCGGCCCCTTGGGGCGCTCGGCCCCTGCCCACCTGAGGATGAGGCTCCAGTGGCCTCCCGGGCATCCTTCCCTCTGCCGCTTTGGTGCACCCCTGTCCCTTTGAGAGCCCCATCTGAAGAGCCTCCTTCTCAGGCTGCTGCCATAATCGCTCCCGCGAGGGCAGCGGGTGAGACATCCCTGCCGCACCCCCCTACCCCCTTCCAGGGCCCCTTCTTGTGCGATGACTTCAGAGAGGGAAAAAGCTTTTGGAGGCTCCAGGGACAGTTTTCTGCAGACGTTTCTGTTTCGCCCTGTGCCCTGAGTTTCCCTTTCCAGAATACTTGTCACTTTTGACACAGATTATTCTCCAGAAGAGCAGACTGACTCTGTCTTTCCATCCATGTCCCCCGTGCCTGCTGCACATCGTGGATGCTCTGTAGACTGCCTATTGCTGTTGTTTAGTCCCTAAGGCGTGTCCAACTCTTTGGGGTCCCAAAGGCCCCAGAGGAACCCTCCAGGCTCCTCTGTCCATGGGATTTTCCAGGCAAGAATACTGGAGTGGGGTGCCATGTCCTTCTCCAGGGCATCTTCCTGACCCAGGGATCGAGCCCACGTCTCCTGCACTGGCAGGCGGATTCTTTACCCTCAAGCCACCAGGGAAGCCCAGAGACTGCCTGACTGGCAGGATATTCCCACCAGTCTGCAGTCTTGGGTAGAACACTGTTGGGGGAGAATTCTTGTCCCTATTCTGTTGGACTAGGATTCCTAGTTCAAACTATGCTGGACTTCACCATCCTCTGCCCAGCCCAGAACCAGTTCTTGTCATCCTCTCTGACCCCTTCCAGGCCCGTGCACATGCCGCTCCTGCCTGGAACATTCCTCCACTCTCACCGGCTGCCCCCATTCTCTCTCCAGCCTCAAGGGAGGAAACCACTCCTGTGCTCCCTCCCCAGCCTGTAACATTGTGGCACTTGTTGTTACTCACGGTTCCTTGTCTGCCCCTTGAAGGTAGAGGAAATGGCTTGTTCATGGCTGGACTGCCTCGCCTCACCCAGCCTTGGGTACTGGGTCCCCCTTCACTCCCTTGGGCAGCTCACCAGCACCCTCTCCCTCTTCCCAGAGATGTCACCTGGGGACTGACATTTCACCATCTCCCCACTCTTCTGTTGTTATCCCTTCTCAGCGTTGCCCTCAACTGCCATTGATTAAGCACCTACTATGTGCCAGATGCTGCCCTTGGTGCGGAGTTGAGCAAAAAGATGAAGCCCCTGTCCTCAGGGTATGGTAGGGGAGCCAGGGAATGAGTACGTCAACAAACTAGTGAGTATTGGGTTGGCAAAAAAGTTTAAGATGTTATGGAAAAACCAGAACAAACTTTTAGTCCAACCCAATAATTCAATGTCCCAGGAAGTGTTATGAAGCAGAATAAAGTGAGGTAAGGTTGCACAAGTAGGGCCTCTCTGAGAAGGTGACTTGAGCAGAGAGACCTTTTACAGGAAAGGGGGTGCTGTGTGTGTGTTTGGGGGAGAACTTTCCTGATGGGGGAAACTGCAAGTGCAAAGGCCCTGAGGCAGCCGTCCCTGGGGTTCTTCATCCATTGCAGTCTTCCCTTCTCAGCTCTGAGGGCCCTCCTTGCTCATTGTCTATGTGACAGGCATCTACAGGTAGCTAGTGTCTGTTCTCTTACAACTTTGTCTTTGTCCTGCCTCCAGGAGGGACTGACCATCAGGTCATTTTTCTTTGGAAACGTCTCATTGTCCGTTGTGGGTGGAGGTGGGGGTTTCCAGAAGTGTTGGTTGACTGACTTACTGACTGGCTGGGAGGCTTTCAGGGCCCAGGAGATGAATCCTCCCCCGACCCTCAGGACATAACTCGGAAGGTACTCTCTCCTCTCTTGCAGACGCCGGCTGGGCCCCCACGTCTGCCTCTCGGGGTTCGGGAGTGGCTGCTGCCCTGGCTGGGCGCCCTCCATGGGCAGTGGGCACTGCACCCTTCGTAAGTGACTGTCCGTGTGCCCCAAATATCCTCCTCAGCAGGGTGCGTGTTCCCTGGGCTGGCCTGAGGGGCAGACTGGGGGGCTCCAGCCCCGACTCCCTCACCTGTGTTTCTCCTCTCAGCCCTCTGCTCCTTTGGCTGTGGGAGTGGCATCTGCATCGCTCCCAATGTCTGCTCCTGCCAGGACGGAGAGCAAGGGCCCACCTGCCCAGGTAACTGGGGGCGCGGGCCCTGGCTGATGGGAAGAGCTCTGTTTACACTGAGACTGTGCCAGGCCCTGGGCAGTCGCGCCCTAGCGCATCATTTTCAAACAGCCCTATGAGGTAGGCATTCTCATTCCCATTTTATAGATGAGAAAACCGAGGCGCAGAAGCTAGTGGCTCGCCCTGGGTTACGTGGCCAGTAAGTGGCAGAGCTGCATTTAAACTCAGTCCTGTTTGCCTCCAGGGCCCCCTTCCCCACAGAATTTAGGAGGAGCCGGAGGGGGCAGCGGGGAGGGGGTGGCTGGGACTGCTGCGTGGCGCATGCTCACAGGTGCGGTGATTGTTTCAGAAGCCCACGGAGCCTGTGGGGAATACGGCTGTGACCTCACCTGTAACCACGGTGGCTGTCAGGAGGTGGCCCGAGTGTGCCCCGTGGGCTTCTCCATGACCGAGACAGCGGTCGGCATCAGGTGTACCGGTGAGAGGCCTGAGAGCAGCAGGGAGGGCAGGCGGGAAGGGGGTCTCCTCCCCGGCCTCCGAGGCCAGTCTCCCAGGATATGCTGGAGTGAAGCCGAGCTCGGGGCGGCTCTGAAGTCTGCAAGTGGGCAGGTGGGCAGGTGAACACAAGGAATCTGCCCCTTCGGCTATTCCACAAATACCTATTGAACACATCCTACGGACCAGGAACTGACCTGGGATTGGGGTTATGCGGGCCGTCTCTGCTCGTATGTTGCTTCAGGATATGGTGCAGGGAGATGAGGAAGGACAGTGACAGTCCCACCTAATGGGACCATCATCGGAGGAGTGCACAGTGCCAGGGCCCACAGGGGCACAGGGAACTGGGTCCAGCCTTTTGCTGGACTGCAAAAGGCTCCATCGAGAATGTGACATTTGAACGATGAGGCAAGGGAAACTCAATAGTTATTTTGTAAAAGTATTATTTGTTCCTGATTTTAAAAATTTCCTACAGGCCAAGTCTGTTACCTTCCCCATAGATGCTACTGTGACCAGCTTCTTACTTGTCTTTCCAGAGAGCTTGAAAGCCATCCCCGCCCCCCACCCTTGTGCCTTTTTAACATTTTGTGAAAATAAACATTTCTTCCCCTGAATATAAAAATAAAAAATAACTTACTTTGGAACATTTGGAAAGTAAAAGAAGAGTAGAAAGGTGAAAATAAACATGTCCCAGAAGTTCCTACCCAGAGATATTTGTTACTAAAATGAAGTTATTTTTTTTCCCTGCCCTTGTTCCCTTGGTCTGTATGTGTATTTGTATGTGTATTTGTGAGTGTGTGTGTGTGGGACTGTGTGTCAGGCATGCCTCTCTGTCTGTTTTAGAAAATTGGGATCATACCTTATCTATCACTTTTGTTCGTTGTTTTTTAACTTTGTGCTGTGAGCAGGAAATATTAGTAGACCTTACAACATCACTTTTAATGGCTGCAGATGTGGCTACTGTAATCTAAGTACCTACTTCTGTGCTATCCATCCTTAGCTTGTCTGCAATGTTTGGCTGCTATGAATAATGCTGCAGTAAAGTGGCTTCCAGTCGGCCTTTCTGATTATTTCCAGAAGGAAGACTATTGATTGAGTCAAAGGTCCCATGAAGGAGTTTTTGTGCTTGCTCCTCCCCCACCCCCTTCTCGGCCTTTTTCAGAAGGTTGAATTACTTTCCAGACACATTTCTCCTTGCAGAGGCAAACTGGACTAAGGAAAAGCCAGAGACCAATGTCAAAGCAAGTGCAGGGCAGGGGAGTCACAGGGGTGGGATAGGGTGAGTCAGGGTGGATGTCTTAGAAGAAGTGGGCATCGTCCCAAAGGTGCCCGCTGTAGAAAGAGCAAGGAAGGAGGATGGGGGACGCCAGCAGGCATGGGGGCCAGGGGTGGAAGGGAGGCTCAGGTGGGCAGAGTAGACTGGAGTGGGAGGAGCTGACCTCCTAGGTCCTCATGGTTCTGAGATAGGAAGGGATGCTTTGAAGCATGGGGTGGGGCTTCTGTCTCGCAGCACCCTCCCCTACCCCCCAGGCTTGAACCTCTCTAAAGCACTACTGGCCCCCCAGACAGAAGCCTGGCGGGCTCCTTTGTGCCCCACAGCTGAGCCTTAGCCCACCACCTCTCCAACCCCACCTCCCACCAGACTGACCCCCCACTCCTCCACTGTGTCCCCTGTTCTTCCTGGAAGCTCCACTAGACAGCCCCCTCCTGGCTGCCCCCTGGTCCTCTCAGCCCATGTCTCCTCCATCACACACCTGCCGTGGGGGGCGGTCCCTGCTGGGGCACATGCAAGACCCTGCCCCACACTGGCCTCTCGTGGATGTGCCTCATGACTCCTGTGTTCTCAGGCTGCGACTGTCTGGAGAGCCAGCACTGTGTCTTAGTCACATTTGTGTCCTCGACAGAGCCCTTCCAGGTCCGCTGCATGCCAGCGGTGCTCCACAAGAACTAAAGGGAATTTAATCAACCTTCCTGCTCACTCCCCTGGCCTTCTTGGGGTTGCCTTGCAGGTGGGACCATTGGAAATGGTTCTATTTCAACCAGCCTCTCCCGTCATCTGTTCTGTGTGGGTCAAAGAGGCCTGGCCTCGTGACCTCTTCTTTCTTGGACTGGGGGTCCCTAAAACCAGAAGATTTACCTAGTGCCTTCTTTCTCCCTGGGATGGCAGTGAGGCATGCCCCATGTGGGCTAGGGTCCTCGTGGGATGCACGCCCTCCCCACATCCAAAACACATTCAGAGTGAGCTATGCAAGTGTTTCCTCTCTCCCCAGACATCGATGAATGTTTAAGCTCCTCTTGTGAGGGCCACTGCGTGAACACGGAAGGCGGGTTCGTGTGCGAGTGTGGGCCGGGCATGCAGCTGTCTGCGGACCGCCACAGCTGCCAAGGTGAGCGGCTCTGGGAGGGGTAGTGATGCTGTGTGCTGTCGCCACTGCTTTTAGGCTCTGATGTGGACCTCAAGGCCCTGCCAGGCCCAGCCTGTGCTCTCCAGGCATGACTGCACATCACCTTCACCACGGTCCTCTAAGCAAGATGCTGCTCACTCTCTCTCTCTCTTTCTTTTTTTTGCCTGTACCTCTTGGCATGTGGGACTTTAGTTCCCTGAACAGGGATTTAACCCATGCCCCCTGCACTGGAAGGCAGAGTCTTAACCACTGGACTGCCAGGGAAGTCCCAGGAGATGGTGTTCTCATCCTCACTTTATGGATGAGGCTTGCCCAAGGCCATTCTGTCAGTAGGAGGAGGGGGAATCAGGTTGCGTGTCTGGCACTAAGGCCTTTGCTCTAGACCACGACTCGGTAGAAACTGCTGCTGCCATCGTTGCAGGGTTGGGGGAAGGGGAGGGAGAGGCAGAGGGAAGGGCCAGGGGCAGGCGGAGCAGACTGACCAGAGGGACGAGGCCCCTGAGATGGGGGAGGGCTGAGGGGAAGGGGCTGTGACACCCTGGGGGTGTGTCGTGTGGGAGGCCGTGCAGTGATAGTCACCACCTGCCCCTGTGCTGGCCCAGGCTCTGGAGACACACAGCCAGGAAGAAAGCATCCTGCCCTGCAGTGCCCCGCCTGATGGAAGGGGAAGAACAGCGCGGTTTTTCAATGAGGTCCTCATGGCTCTTCTGCTGAGGGCACTAATCCCATCATGAGGGCTCCACCCTCAAGACCTCATCTACCTCCCAGAGACCCCACCTCCTAATACCATCACATTGAGGGTTAGGGCTTCCATACATGAATTTGGAGAGAATGCAGTTGAATAGCACTTGGTCATCAATCTGATGAGTGACCTGCCTGCCTCTCCCCAGTACGTGAACAGACACACATGTGCCCTTATAGAGATAGAAGGATAAGAGATGCAGGGAGTGGGGGGGGGTGGTGTTAATAGTTATTCAGCTCCTGTGTTCCAGGCATCACGTTAAGTACTTCACACACATTTTCTCATTTCATCTTCAGAATTGTCCTATGAAGTTGGTACTGTTCATTTCCATTTTCCTGGTAGGAGTAGTGAGGTTTAAAGAAATTAATTTGCTCAAGATCATGTTAGAGCTGAGATCTGAACCCAGTCATTGCTCCACCTGCTTTTCACCCCTTAACAGTCCATCTTGAAGATATTCCCACATCAGGGTCAACAGATTTGTTTTATTGTTGTCAATTGCTGCCTAGTACTCTGCAGTGCAAATATCTCATAGTTTACTAACTCTTCTCTTATTGATGAACACACAGATTATTTTCAAGTTTTTTCCCAATTTCAAGCAATGGCTTGGGGAGGCTTTGACAGAGGAGGTGGTATAGATGCTGGGTTTTGAGGTATGAATAGGAGTTTTCCAGCCAGACAAGATGAGAAAACATTCTAAGCAGATAGGAGAACATGTGTAAAGGAGGAGGGCCACAAGAGCATGGTACATTTGGAAGACAGCCAGAATTTAGGCCAAAGTCAAGGTGAGGGGGAAAGAGGGAGCTTGGAAGGCAGCCTTGGGCTCATGAGCTATGGTGGATCATTCATACCTGTGGGAGCCTTGGAGAGATTTTAAACAGAAAGTGGCCTGATCAGAGGTACCCTTCAGTCAGAACTTCCTGGAGGCTGTGTAGAGGGTAGCTTGGGAGGAGCACAGGGAGAGGCAGAGAGACACACAATGCTGTTGTTATCCTCTAGACCAGAGACAAAGGTGTCCTGGGCTAGGATATGGCAGTGATGGTGGAGAGAAGTGGGCTGGTCCATGAAGAACTTAGGAGTTGATAGGCTGGATGTGGGTTTTGAGAAGGAGAGGGGTTAAGAGTCTGGTAGAAGATGGCGATGAGAGAGGTAGGTAGAGAGGACTGTATGTTTCCAAAACCCCACAGGGAAGTGAACTCCAGCCATGTCCTATTCCCTTCCAGACACTGATGAATGCCTTGGGAGCCCCTGCCAGCAGAGATGTAAAAACAGCATTGGCAGCTACAGGTGCTCCTGTAGAACTGGCTTCCATCTCCATGGCAACAGGCACTCCTGTGTAGGTAAGGCCAGGGACCCTGTTGTCTTCATACTTAGGTTGCCAATCAGGAAGACGGACAGGGTGAGCCCAGGGACAGGGAAAGGTCAACAGTCTGGACCTCCTTAGTTCCCTGGAGCCTGCAAGCGCCTGAGCCTTTGCTCAGAGCCTGCCTTTCCCTGGGGTTGGCGTGACTCCTAATGGAAGACCCTGTCTTGGACTTTTCCTGGCCACATGCCACTTTCATCCTGTTATGTTTCTCTTCCACCCTCTCCCAGATACACCCCAAGGATTCCTCTCTGCTCACCCATTTTCTTGGCTGCCTTTGCTCCCCTTGGTAAATAAAGCACGTTATGTCTTGGTTCCTCTGGTTTAGAAGGAGACCCCTGTTTTCTCAGCCCATTAGCAGAAATTTCCAGAAAGGGATTGGCATGTTTGGCTTGAGCTTGGCTCATGGGTTGAAGGTGGGGTCCCATGGGCCTGAAAAAAGACCTTGTTCTAGCAGAGTTGGGTGTTTGTCCTGAAGCCTGCCCTGAGCAGTGCAGTGATTTTTTTGAGACTCTTTTTCAGAAGGGCCCACAGCACCCGATGCCCAACACTGGGATGGTGGAGGGTTTGGAGCCGAGATTCCCAGTGGGGGCCCATCCCCGCCAGCCAGCACTTAATCACTGCTGCACGGTGCTGGAGTGAGAGTCACTGGTGCATCCATTAAATGCCTACTGGATGTACTGACCTTCCAAGGGGACTAGCACTAGACTTCAGCCCATTCCCAGACATCTGAGTCACGTCATCGCCCTGGGGCAGGGAAGGACCCCGTAAGAACATGGCAGGGAGACTTCCCGGTCTTTTGGGCTAAGAGATGGAGGAAGAATGACTTGGTAGCCCCAACAGCCGTTGGTAGCGAGGCTCTCCCGCAGATGTAAACGAGTGTCGGAGGCCCCTGGAGAGGAGAGTCTGTCACCATTCCTGCCACAACACCGTGGGCAGCTTCCTGTGCACCTGCCGACCTGGCTTCAGGCTCCGTGCTGACCGAGTGTCCTGCGAAGGTGAGCACCTGGCCCCGCCCCCGGCTCTGGGCCCCGCCCCCAGCCTCCCCGCTCTCTCCCGGAGCGTGGGGAGGCAGGGTGCCCCTTCCTTCCGCAGGAAGTTTTTTTCAATGCATCTTCTTTGTTATTTCCTCCGCCGAACTTTCATCCTCTCTTGTCTCTTTCCCCTTTACCCAACCTTCTTTTATTTTCCTTTCACTGTTTCCCCAGCCCTACTGTTTCCCCCCAAATAGTAAAGGGGGGAAAAAAACCCCACCAAAAAACAACCCATGATAGAGAAGCCTTTGATGTAGGAGTCCCAGTAACCTGGGCTCCGCGGGACACTTGAGACAGTGTGGGGTCAGTTCTCTGCCATGGTTTAACAGTGTGCCTGTCAGCGTCTGTGTAATATCGTGTCAATATCTGAGGCGTTCTTTCTAGTCCCGGGGCCAGTTTTCCATGGTGTGACTGCCTGTGTTGGTCTGAGCTTGGCCACCCAGGTTCCCCTTCCCTGCCCAGCCTGTTTTCTCCTGGGTGCACTCTGATCCGTGACTCTCCCTTTCTCCGCGTACCTTCGCCCCACATTTGCCTTCTCTCTCGTGTTGATCCGTCTCTCTTTCAGACTGTTGGGCAGTTAGTGTCCATCTGCAGGGAAAATGTGTGCTTTCCTAAGCTTGTGTGTGTGTGTGTGTGTGTGTGTGTGTGTGTGAGTGAGTGTGTGTTGGGGGAGGCAACAGCTTGTAAGCTGGCCTGTCTGGGGTGGGATGGGAGAGGACCCTGAGCTCTTCCTTCTCCTGAGCCTCAGCATCTCCTCGTGGGAAGTCCCATCTGGGTCAGGGAGCAGTGGACACACTGCTGACTTGTCGGGACACAGAAGTAGTGAAGGGTCATTCCTGGGATGGATCCCTGAGGGCTTAGAGAAGGTCTTCCTGGCTCAGGAAAACCCGAGTCTCCTTTGTGGCCAGCGAGGAGGGGAAAGGAGAAGACTGATTTGACAGTGGCTGAAGCTTCTGACGGCTAGTATCACCAACTCGTGACTTCAGTCGGCTGCTTTGGTAGTTTTTCATCAGTCTTCTCTCCTGATCGTCACTGCAGCCCCATTAGTCTGAGGTTGAACTGGTGGTGTTAGACCCATCCTGCTGATGAAGAAACTGACCTAGAGACGTTCAGTGCCTTGTGATGGTGGACCCGCGTCCTCGCCCCGCGAATCTTGCCTCCTGCCCCTGCTGCCTCCTTCCAGATGCTTCTGTGTTTCCATTTCAGCTTTCCCCAAAGCCGTGCTGGCCCCATCTGCCATCCTGCAGCCTCTGCAGCACCCTCCTAAGATGCTGCTGCTGCTTCCAGAGGCAGGCCGGCCCGCCCTCTCCCCCGGGCACAGCCCTCCTTCCGGGGCTCCGGGGCCCCCGACTGGAGTCAGGAGCACACGACCACCACCTCCCACGCCTGCACTGCCCACATCCTCCCCTTCTGCCCCGACGCCGCTGCTGTCCACCCCGGTGGCCACCCCCGTGCCGCATCCCTCTCTGCTGGGAACCCTCAGACCTCCCGCACAACTCCATGAGAAGACGGCGGTGACCCCTCCCTTGCCCAGGGGCCCTGAGACCACACGGCTGGCACCAGGACCTTCTGCCTGTTGGCACCTGGGGGCCACGTATGAGTCAGGGAGCCGCTGGACAGAGCCTAGCTGTTCCCAGTGCTGGTGTGAGGTGGGTGTGAGGGGTCCGTGGGGTTTCCCTGGTCTGGTGTCTGGGGCCTCGTGGTGGCTGGAACTTCCATTTCTGCTTCTAGGATGGGGAGGTGACCTGTGAAAAGGTGACGTGTGAAGCTGCTTGCTCCCACCCGATTCCCTCCAGAGATGGAGGGTGCTGCCCATCATGTACAGGTGGGCGCTAGTCTAGGGAAGGCTATGAGTTTCCTGCAGGGTCCTGCCTCTTCCCTTTACCTGCCTTTCTGCAGCTGAAAGACAGTTATCTAACTTTCATATATCACCTGAAGGCTGATCCCTGGGCCTAGCCCCCAGAGCTTCTGATTTAGCAGGTGTAGGATAAGTCCTGGGAATTTGCATGTCTCACAAGTTTCTGGGTGAAGCTGACGCTGTTGGGCCAGGGACCACACTTTGAGAACCACTGGTATCTCTGCTCCCAAGGGGAACGTTTCAATCTTAAGGGCATCCTCTTTTGAGCTTTATTCATTCATTCAGCAGGTTTCTCCAGACCCAGTCTGCAGTCCCCTCCCCTGCCCCAATCCCCCTCCTAACTGCAGGAAGAGTAATTGTTCATAAATTGTATCGCTTTCCTGATTCCCTCCCACTATCTGCTGACATTTTTTAAGTTTGCTTTCATTGCTGTTAGGATAAAGACCTCAAATCTTAACAAGTTCTTCAGCAGAGTGCTTTAAAACTCACCCTACACAGGAATTGCGGGCTTCCCAGGTGGCTTGAGTGGTAAAAGAATCTCCCTGCGATGGGGGAGACCTGGGTTCTATCCCTGGGTCAGGAAGAGCCCCTGGAGAGGGGAATGGCTACCCACTCCAGTATTCTTGACTGGAGAATTCCATGCACAGAGGAGCCTGGCGGGCTCCAGTCCACGGGGTTGCAAAGAGTCAGACACGACTGAGCAACTGAGCACACACGCATGCACGTGAATCGCTGGGGATCTTGTTAAAATGCAGATTCTCATTCAGAAGATGTAGAGAGAGGGGCCTGAGCTATTACATTTCTATGAAGCTCCTGGTGATAAGATACTGATGCTGCTGCACTTTGAGCAGCAGTGAAAAAGGCTTTCTAAGGGTGACAATGAAAATGCAACTCAATGATTTTATTAATGATGATTGTTATCTTTTACTGTGTCTCTACTATGTTCTAAGCCCTGAATGTCAGTTGCTATCTACATTACATCTGAGGTTGTGGCTCCTTCCAGGTTCCCTGCAAGGCATGTGGTGGTGTTTCCATTTAACAAAAAAGACAGACGAGTCCCAGAGAGGTTAAGTGACACATCCAAGTCCAAGGCCACTCAGGTGACAGGCCAGGTTTGGAACCTGGGGCTGTATGGCTGCCTTTCTTGCTTTATGGGAATAAAGGGCCACACTTTCAATACAGTTCTGGGCTTATCAGACTTGAATAGGACCCTCTCAGGGCACCGTAAGTAGGTGTCTCCTGTGGTTTTCCAGGGGTCTTAGGACCCCACAATTCTGAGTACCTAGATCTGGCCACTGCTGAGGCATCCAAGCCAGTAAGAGAAGGTTCCAGGTACGTTATGCCTGGAAAAGGAGCGAGACCTCCAGCTTCCTCTCCTTTGAAGAGGTTTGATGCCTCCACTCCTATTTGTCTTTCAAAGGTTGTTTTCACAGTGGCGTCGTCCGGGCTGAAGGGGACGTTTTTTCACCTCCCAACCAGAACTGCACCGTCTGTGTCTGTCTGGTGAGCATCCCAAGCTTCCTGAAGCCTCCTGGGTGTTTTCTTAACCTTTGGGGGTTTTAGAGGAAGAGGGAAAGATGGGATGTTAAAGGTGAGCTCGTTGAACAGAGGGAGTGCTCTCAGGCTGTGGATTTGGGTTGGAACTTGTCACATTTAAAAGCATGGGGAACGGGAAGGCGGTAGTCTGTGGGGTCAGGGAGGCTTCTGCTGAGCAGAAAAGAGCCAACAGGCAAACAGGGTCCATCTGTCTGGGAAGGGGAGGGGAGGGTACTCCTTCGGAAACTTCCTACCAGGGAAGCTGTTTTTCTCTCCAGGCAAAATATTTGCCAGCACAATAAAGGTGTCCACACGGGGAGGGAGAAGGCCCATTACAGGACTCAGCTTGTTAGTGTTTTGCTAGAGGCAAGTGCACTCCTCCAAGAATAGTTATTAAGCTCCTACTATGTGCCAGATGCAATCAAGTGCTGTCCTGAAGATTGGCTCATGAGCACCCAGTGCACACAAGTCTGGGGGCTTGGTACTTTCCATCTAGTTCCTCACCTGAGGCTCCTGGCAGCTCTTCAGGGTTGGCTTTACTGTCCCCATTCTACAGATGCAAAGACTGAGGCTGGGAGGTGACAGAACTGGAATTTGAGTCAAGATCTGTCTGCGTCCAAACCCAGGCTCAGCCCACCAGTCCTCACTGCCTCTGATCATGTTTAAAAGTGGCCCCAGCCTGGCAGGGATGATGGAGCCGCAATATAGAATGGGGGAGGGGTGGCACATAGCTACCACCTCCCTTACTGAGCCCTTCCCATGTGCCACACGCCTGTGCGGCAAGCTCTTTTGTTCAGCCCACCAGTCCTCACTGCCTCTGATCATGTTTAAAAGTGGCCCCAGCCTGGCAGGGATGATGGAGCCGCAATATAGAATGGGGGAGGGGTGGTACATAGCTACCACCTCCCTTACTGAGCCCTTCCCATGTGCCACACGCCTGTGCGGCAAGCTCTTTTGTGCCTGATCGCATCTTACGCGATCCTCAACAACCCTGGCTCTTCTCACAGGTAGGGAGACTGAGGCTCAGAGAGGTGATATGCTCTGCCCACAGTAGGAGGAGCAGACCCTGGGCCTCAGGCCTGGCTGACTCCAAAACTGGGTACCTTTTTTTGGTCTTAGCTTCAGTTTTTGAAAATTGAGTTTTGAATTTAATTCTCTGGCCATTATCAGTAACTTGGTTCAAAACTCAGATGCACAGGAAGGTGGAGTAACCTCTTCCTCACTGCCTAGCATCCTTCCGAGAGCTTCTGAATGCTATAGGAGGGAATGGCATAGGGGGAAGTGCCATGGAAGGGGAAAGTGCCATGGAAGGGGGAAGTGCCATGGAAGGGGAAAGTGCCATGGGGGACAGTACTATGGGGGACAGTGCCACTGGAGGAGTGCCATGGGAGGGATACCACGGGGGTAATCAATGGGGGGCAGTGCCATAGTGGGGAAGTGCCATGAGGGGATGCCATGGGGGACAGTTCCATGGGAGGGAGTGCCATGGGAGGGGGTGGCATAACAGGGGAAGTGCCATGGGGAGAATACCATGGGAAGGATGCCATGGGGGGATACCATGGGGGTAATCAATGGGGGGCAATGCCATGGTGGGATGCCATGGGGACCAGTACCATGGGGGTCTAGGCTTGTCCATTTTTGTAAGTAAGGCAGCATGCTCTGCTCTCTGTTCTGCCCCTCGTCTTGGTAAGGGGGATATTGGAAACCAAGACCATAATAAACCCTGCTACTGGGTCCCTGCTTGCGTCCCTTGTGTGTCCATGGTGGCACTTAAAGGTCTCGGATGGCCTCCTTTAGGAGACTTTCGTGTAGGAGAGGAGTCCTGTGGATGGTGTGAAATCGGGACCGAGCTGGTTCTGACGGGCCTGGCGGTCCATCCTCCCCGACCCACGCCATCTCTCACCTCTCCAGGCTGGAAACGTGTCCTGCATCTCCCCCGAGTGTCCCCCCGACCCCTGCCAGGCCTCCCCGAAGTCGGACTGCTGTACTTGTGTCCCAGGTAAGGGATTCTGCAGGACGAGGACAGCAGTTTAGGTGGGGGTGGAGGGCTGTACTTTGAGTATGTTTTTTTGAGGGGGAGTGAACACAGGATGAGATGGTTGGATGGCATCACTGACTCTATCAACATGAGTTTGATTAAGCTTCCGGGAGTTGGTGATGAATAACAGCCTGGTTGTGCTGCAGTCCATAGGGTTGCAAAGAGTCGGACACGACTGAGTGACTGAACTGAGCGCAGGAGAGAGCGAGGACATTGATTTCTGCTTTAGCAACTCAGATTACATGAAGCGTTTTAGGGTGATGAGTTTTTTTTTGGCTGCACCACCTGGCATGAAAGATCCTAATTTCCCAACCAGGGGATCAGGGATTGAACCCATGCCCCATGCATTGGAAGGCAAAGTCTTAATCAGGGAAAGTATGGTCTATTGGACCACCAGGGAAGTGCCAAGATGCCGGTTTTAATTGAGCACCTACTGTGTACACAGCAGCTTGGATGCTAGCTTGGGCTCAGAGCCTGGCCTGCCCCCAGACAAGGGTGGTGTGTTCAGCACTGACAGGAAGGGGTTTGGGTCCACCCTTGGCTTGGCTCCGTCCCAGCACTGGGAGGGGGTCTCCCGTGTCCCACCCATGAGTCGGTTCTTTGTTAAAATGTGCTTCTCTTTCCTGAGATACTTCGTGGCTGTCACTGCTGGCTCTGGGCCGCTGCTGTGTGGGGTGCTCGCCAGCCCTTGATCTCATTAATCCCTGTGGTGCAGCCCTAAGGGAGTACTAGTCATAGCTCCATTTTATGGATTAGGAAACTGAGGCTCAGAGCGGTCATCACTGCCCAAAGGGGTGTGCCAGTTAGTAAAGGAGCAGAGCTTGCTCTCAAGCTTACCTGATTTCAGAGCTAGTGTTCTTATTAAATACTGCTTTTCCTTTGAAGTTTTGAATATTATGTTATTTTTAGTTAAAACATTTTTTGAATAGGCAATATGCTCCCTTTGAGGTAGGAACTGTTAACCCCATTCTACAGATGAGAAAACTGAGGCTAAGGAGAGCCTAAGTATCTTGCCCCTAGCGAGTTGAGAAGCTAGAATTTGAATCCAGTGCTCTCTGACTGAGCCCAGGTGGAGCCTGGGCAGATTTTTAAGGTTTTTTTTTTTTTACCAGCAGGGGTGAGGGATGTTCAGATAAGAGGTTCTTACCGAATCCTCCCCAACCCCGTCCAGGGAGTGGTGGCATTCCCAGACCTGGCTGCAGGTGTCTGGGGCCCTCTTTTTTCTTCTTTTCTCTTACTCTTTAAAATTTTTTAAAAAATGTGTATCATTTTTAAAGTCTTTATTGCATTTGTTACAGTATTGTATCTGTTTTATGGTTTTGGTTTCTTGGCATGAGGCATGTGAAATCTTAGCTCCCCAACCAGGGATTGAACCCACATCCCCTGCATTGGAAGATGAAGTCTTAACCACTGGACTGCCAGGGAAGTCCTATTTACTCTTCAGTTATTCAGGGCTTCCCTGCCTTCTTGGTTAAGGACTTTATTTTGTATGTGATTCATTCTCCGTCAGTTTTTAGGCATCGATCTAATTTTATTAATAGTTGAGGGTTCAGAGGGTAGCAGTGGTTGGGCTCTTGGGTTTGGGCAAGCCGTGGAGTATTGTGGGGGTGCATTTTCTTCCCAGAGACCCCCTTACCTGTTTCTTTAGCTGCCCAAAGACCTTGAGCTGCCTCTTCCTTTTTCCTCCACAGTGAGATGCCATTTCCACGGCCGGTGGTATGCAGACGGGGCTGTGTTCAGTGGGGGTGGTGATGAGTGTACCACCTGTGTCTGCCAGGTAGGGGGCTGAGTTGGTGGGTGACGGGCAGGGGCACAGGACTTTTCCAGGAGCCCCTGACTGGGAGAAGAGGAGACACTGGACAGCAAAAGGGAAACTGAGGCAGGAAAGAGACTAAAGGGACCTTAGCATCCCCCACGGCCTTCCTGCAGCCTCCTTGAAGGTTGTCCTTCAGCGTTGTTATTAAAGAGCACCTACTGTGCACCTGGGACAATGCTGAGTCCTGGGGACACAGCCGAGGACAGGGCAGCCTCGGATCCCTCCATCAGGAGGCCCACAGCCAGGCAGCAGTGGACAGGAGACTGGGGCCCTTAACCAGACTGTGGGCTTCAGGGAAGCCTTCTTGGAGGGTGAGGTGCTAAGCTGAGACCTGAAGGATGACAAAGACTAGCCAGGTGAGGAGCTGAGACAGGTGTGCCTGGCAGAGGGCACTGTGTGAGCAGAAGGCAGGAGGCGGGAGAGAGTATGGCATAGCCTGAGGCCTGGTGGTGTCCATTCTGGCTGGAGGCCAGATGGCGAGAGGGACTGGAGATGCAGCCGAGGCAGGGATCCTGTTTGGGCTGGGTTCCAAGAAGCAGGGCCTGGGGCGGGCCTCTTGTATAAGTGGTTTTCTGGGGGTGATGCTCTCAGGAGGAACTGGCCAGGGAAGCAGGTCAGGCGGGGGAAGGGGCCATGTGGAGATGGGGTCTCGGGCTGATCCCATGGGGAGCTCTGGAGTGGGAGGACACCAAGGAAGTGGGTGTGTCCAGAGGCCAGGGAGCTGGGCTCTTCCACCCCCAGCATCAGGTGGTTGTATATAGTCCCTTGCTTCCCAGCGAGTATGGGGGGAAGGAACCTGGACAACGCTGTCCCCATCCGCCAAGGGCAGTGCCTAGGGGACTGATGGGGTCTGTGTGTGGGGGTAACAGCCTCTGCTTCAGACTCAGTCAGGAGGGCTTTGCCAGCAAGGCGGAGGGTTTTAAGTGATGGAGGGATGCAATCAGATTGGTGCGCGAGAAGGTTCTGTGGCTGCAGGTGAGAGTAGGTTGGAGTGGGAGCAGAAATCTGTTGGAGGAAGCGAGGGGAAGAGATGCTGGAGGCTGCAGCTATGGCAGCCTGGGACCCTGCAGTCACACAGTCAACATGTTCCAGGGACCCTCTCCCGGCCTGAAGCCCAACCCCCAGGGAAAGACTCACCCTTCCTTCCCCTCTTGCTCCCTGGAGATCTGTCACTTTCAGGGGAGGAGATGGCAGCCTGCTCATTTTCTCTTGGGCCTCCCTGGTTCGTGCCTTTTGGTTCTCTTCCAGAATGGGGAGGTGGAATGTTCCTTCACGCCATGTCCGGAACTGGACTGCCCCCGCGAGGAGTGGTGGCTGGGCCCCGGGCAGTGCTGCTATGCCTGCAGGGAACCCATGCCCATGACAGGTGAGGGCCACGCAGCCTTCATCCCAGGCCGCACCCAGCTCCAGGCCGGGAGGCGGAGAAGGGTGAGGCTGAGCTTCACCCACTGAGACTCTTGTGTGTGTATGTGTACGCTGGAAGCATGTGTGTGTGTGTGTCTGTGTGTGTATGCTTGTGTGTTTTAAGTCTGTATATGAATAGCATATATTGTGTGTGAGTTTGTGTCCATGGTGTCTGTGAGGGGTATCTGCGTGTTTTATTGAGTATAATTGCTTTACAATGTCATGTTAGTTTCTGCTGTATGATGAAGTCAATCAGCTCTTTGCATACATGTACCCCTTCCCTCTTGGACCTCCCTCCCACCCCACTGCCCACTCCACCCCTCTAGGACATCACAGAGCCGAGGTGAGCGCCCTGTGCTGTGCAGAAGCTTCCCCCTAGTTATCTGTTTTACACATGGTGGTGTAGACATACATATATATGTCAACGCTACTCTCCCAGCTTGTCCCACCCTCCCCTTGCACCCTGTCCACATGTCCACTCCCTATTCCTGCCCTGGAAATAGGTTTGTCTGTACCATTTTTCCGTCTGTGTGTTTTTGTTGTGTGTCTGCTGCACCCGTATGAGCGTGTCTCTGTGTGTGAATGGGGGTGTTCATGGATGTGTATGGACGTGTACATTTGTGTGTGTGTGTGCCCGTGTATACCAGGTGCATGCTGGGAGGGAAGCAATTGACTAACACGGGGAGCCAGGTGGCAGCTGCTGGGGCAGGGCTGCGTGGATGCAGCGCGAGTGAGCAGAGGCATCTGTCTGTCCTCCCCGGGCGGTGCTGTGGGTCCCTCCGGCATCAAGGCCGCTCCTCGGCATTTCTGCCCACTCGTGCTCTCTCCCTCGCTGTCTCCCGCCAGGCTGCTCTCTCGATGACAACGGGGTTGAGTTTCCGGTTGGACAGATCTGGTCTCCCGGTGATCCCTGTGAGTTATGCATCTGCCAGGTGAATGACAACCTGCGCGCCTTCAGCTGCTTTCCCTGCCTCCCAGTCCCTGCCAGCACTGCTGCCTCTGCAGAAGGGGGCCACGTCAGGCCCCGTCCCAGTCTCCCTTCCATGGTGTCAGCTCCTGTTTTTGTACAAGATCTGGGATCCAGGTTATTTTGTCCTCCGTAGATTTTCAGGACGGCAGAGCTTGGCAGTCTGTCGTAAGAGTGGAATGTGACCCATGGTGCGTGTGAGGGGAGCCACTGGTCTCAGGAGTCAGAACTAGGATTCCCGGGACCAGGTTTTTCCTGGACAGGGGTAACAAAGGGAGCCAGGCAACCCGAGGCCCAGTAGCTCAGGCCTTTTCTGTGCAACTGTGATGCCTCCTTCATTAACATCAATCCTGTGACCTCACCTCTTCAGAATTGGATAAGGTGAGGGTGTGTGAGTTTGAGAGTCAGATCAACAGAAATGCAAACACAGCTGTTTACCAGGGCAATCATTTTAGCTCCTGTTTGAGTACAAGTTGGCTTTCCTTTCTACTTTAAAAAATATTAAAAAAAATTTTTTTTGTCTGCACCATTGGGCATCTGGGATCTTAGTTCCTGACCAGGGATTGAACCCATGCCCCCTGCAGTGGAAGTGAGAAGTCTTAACCACTGGACCTCCAGGGAAGTCCCTAGCTTTCCTGTCTCCTTTGAAAGAATTTTTAGTCCCTTTGAACTTCATTTTTTAAAATGGGGTCCCTGCACTGGCTGTGGGCTTCCCAGGTGGTGCTTGTGGTAAAGAACCTGCCTGCCAATGCAGGAGACATAAAAGACGCTGGTTCTGTCCCTAGGTTGGGAAGATCCCCTGGAGAAGGGAATGGCAACCCACTCCAGTATTCTTGCCTGGAGAATCCCATGGACAGAGGAGCCTGGTGGGCTACAGTCTATAGGGTTACAAAGAGTTGGACACGACTGAAGCTACTCAGCATGCACGCATGCACTGACTCTGTCATTGGCATTGCCGGGGGGCCTGGTAGAACATTGGTTCCATCTGCCCAGGCCTTGGACTCAGCATCTGCATTTTAATCCCTGGATGACTTGCATGCCCACCAGCTCATGAGAACCTCGGCCTTCACGTCCTCTTGATGCAGCATTTGTTAAAAGGTGTTAGACTCTTACAAAACTTGGAAACATTTAGTTGGAATTAGAGCGGGCAGGAAAGGTACCTCCGCTGCCTTTTTTCTCCTTCAGGACTGATCTAGGGCACTCAAATTACAAGAAAATCACACAAAAGTTCAGCTTCTTTCGAAAGAAAAGAAACTGTATGGCGCTTTCATCTTCTGAAAGACATTTCCGGTGGAATAGCTTTCTATAAAAATAGGGTTTTATTGTAGGTTTGGGGTAAGCCAGGGTTTCAGGGAAACGCTGAGAGAAGAATTTGGATGGGGTCGTGGCACAGCCTTGGCTACTGGGGGAAGGGACTGGAAGCTGAGGAGACCAGAACCCCAGCTCTGACCTTTCCCCTCTGGGGTATGGGAAGGCTTTCTGGAAGGCTCAAGCCCCCTCTCCCAAGTAGCTGGTTCTCTTTGGGGGAACCCTGACACCTCCCAGCTGCATTATGATGCCCCTTAAGCCAGGTCCTGGCCAATTCGCAGCACTGCCCTTTCTTTTGGAGGGCTGGCAGGGTGGAGTGGGGTGGGGAGGTGGGGACTGGCGTGGCAAGTGGGGTCTTGGTGAAGTTATTCCTTCCTCCAGGCAGATGGCTCAGTGAGCTGTAAGAGGACAGACTGTGTGGACTCCTGCCCTCACCCNTAAATGACAGGAGTATCATTTGGTATTTGGAAAATGGAAAAAATAAGCCCTTATTGCTTGTCATGTTGGATATGTTTCATGCTGATGGGGCTTCTTTGTTGATGGTGGTCTGCTGAAAAAGATTGAGACACTTGGGGTGAACATCCCTGGCCTCTGGGTGACCCTGTTCATTCATAGCCATTTACTTTGGGGAGCTTTGACTTCTGGGTCCTTTCTCCTAAATTTAAAAAAAAAATTGATAATTTATCTTTGGTTGTGCTGGGTCTTTGCTGCTGCCCGTGGGCTTTCTCTAGTTGCGGTGAGCAGGGGCTACTCTTGTTGCAGCTCATGGACTTCTCATTGCGGTGGCGTCTCTTGTTGCAGGGCATGGGCTCTAGGCACACAGGCTTCAGTAGTTGCGGTACACGAGCTCAGTTGCTCCAAGGTGTGTGGATTCTTCCAGAATTAGGGATCAAGCCCGTGCACCCTGCCTTGGCAGGCAGATTCTTATCCCCTGAGCCACCAGGGAAGTCCTTCCTAAGTTCTGGGTGCACAGGTTCCCTGGGCGGTTCATGGCTTGTTCAACAGGTACCTGTTGACAGATGAACTCTCAGGGCAAGGCCGGGCCCTCAGCCCCGGGGGGCTTGCTTTCCAGCAGGAGGACAGGCTTGTACTCGGTCTGTCCCCTCACCATGGACCCCTCGCCTGGCCTTGGTGGCTCCAATGGGCATGCAACGGCCGTGTGGTCTGTCATTCCCGAGTGTCCCTCCAGCCCCCAGAATGAAGGGCCTTGCGAGTTTTCTGTGTCCTGCAGCTGGGCTCCGTGGCCTGCTCGCCCGTGGACTGCCCCATCGCCTGCTCCTACCCTTTCCACCCTGATGGCGAGTGCTGTCCCGTGTGCCAAGGTGAGTGGGACCAGCTGCCCCCCTCCAGGACTCCCGGGTGGGCCTTGGCTCTCACAGCTCCTGTCTCCTCTGCCCGCTGCAGACTGCAACTACGAGGGGAGGAAGGTGGGGAACGGCCAGGTGTTCACCTTGGACGATGAGCCCTGTACCCAGTGCGTATGCCAGGTGAGCTGGCCCTGGAGACCCCGGAGCTGCCCAGCTGGGGGCTGCTTCTAGCCTTTAGTCCCTTTGCCAAACCTGGAGCCTCTTAGCCAGTGTACACCCATCTTCTGCCTGCCGTTTTGTAGCTTTAATTACCTGTGGGGATACCTTTGGGTTTGATGGTATCCTTTGCCTGTATAGTTTCCTTAAGGCAGCCCCGCTGGGTCTGGCTTCACCAGTTGTTCAGGTGAGGACCAGGCCCTGCAGCTTCTGCCCAAGACCTTTCCATGGGTCCAGCTGCCGGAGTAAGAGTTCCTCGAGGGTGCTGCTCTGGGCAGGTGAGATGCTCTTCTCACCTGTCTCCTTCTGTTTCCCCAGCTGGGAGAGGTTACCTGCGAGAAGGTGTCCTGCCAGCAGGCCTGCTGGGACCGCACCATGCCCCGCAGGGACTGCTGTGCCTCCTGTCCAGGTAAGTGGGGTTCTGTGACCTGGAGTCTCACCACCATCTTTTTCCCACTCTGCTCTTCTCTGAAACACAGAACTTGTATCAGGCTGGATGTGGCAAACTCAGGCTCAGAGACGGAATGTGGCCCACCTGAGGTCACAGAGCTGGCACACGGCGTGCCTGGGCCCACGCCTGGGCCTGCTGACCCGTGCCTGGGCTTTTTATTCTGCACTGCGCCATGCCGTCAGACGGTCTGTTTACTGTTCCTTTTTCTTCATTTCCTCCTTTCTGAGTCTCTTCCCCTACTTTCTATTTTGTTTCTTTGTGCTTTTTTTTTGTTCCTCTGTTTTCTAAATCCTTTCTCTAAAAATTAGAATTTAGGAACTGAATCAGTTTTGCAAAAGAATAATTGCTAATATGTATTGAGTACCCTTTATTTATCAGGGAACATCATATATCATTATTTTTTAATTGATGTATAATTGACACAACACGTGATATTTGTTGCAGGTGTATGATATAATGATTTGATATTTTGTGTATTGTGGAAAGATCACCAGAGGAAGTCTAGTGAATATTTCCCTACACATAGTTACAATTTTTTTCTTGTGATGAGAACTTCTAAGATCTAATCTCTTTAGCAACTCTTAGCAAATATAATATTTCAATACAGTATTATTAACTGTAGTTATGTTGTACATTACATCACCATGACTGACTTACTTCATAACTGAAAATTTCACCTTCTGATTGCCTTCAACCCTTGTGCCCATCCCTCACCTCCCATCTATGTCAACCACAGGTCTGTTCTCTGTATCGATGAGCTCAGCTTTTTAAAAATGATTCCATATATAAGGGAAATTATATGATATTTATCTTTCTCTGATATATTCATTTAGCATAATACTTTCTAGATCCATCCACATTGTTGCAGATAGTAAGATTTCATTCTTTTCTGTTGTTGAGTAATATTCCACTTTATATATATATTAATACAAGTATATATATATAAATATATACAAGTGTATATATATATGCATAGACCCTGATGCTGGGAAAGACTGAAGGCAGGAGGAGAAGGGGATGACAGAGAATGAGATGGTTGGATGACATCACTGACTTGATGGACATGAGTTTCAGCAAACTCTGGAGATGGTTAAGGACAGGGAATCCTGGTGTGCTGCAGTCCATGGGGCTGCAGAGTTGGACACAACTGAGCGACTGAACTGAACTGATATATATATGCACACACCACATACTGATCCATCTTTATCTATTGATGAATACTGAGGTTGTTCCCATGTCTTGGCTATTGAAATAATACTGCAATGAATCTGGAGGTGCATATATCTTTTTGAATTAGTGTTTTAATTTTCTTTGGATATATATCTGGGCATAGGCTTCACTGGTAGCTTAGCAGGTAAAGAATGCACTTGCAATGCAGGAGATCTGGCTTCGATCCCGGTTGGGAAGATCCCCTGGAGGAGGGCATGGCAACCCATTCTAGTATTCTTGCCTGGAAAATCCCCATGGACAGAGCAGCCTGGCGGGCTGCAGTCCACAGGGTTGCAAAGAGTCAGACACGACTGAGCGACTGAGCACACACGCATACCCAGGTGTGGAATTGCTGGATCATATGGTAGTTCTAGTGTTAGTTTTTTGAGAAACCTCCATACTGTTTAACGCAATGGCTATACCAGTTTCTGTACCAGTTTACATTCCCACCAGCAGTGCATGAGGGTTCCCTTTTCTCTACATCCTCACCAATGCTTCTTATCTCTTGTCTTTGTGACAGTAGCCATTCTAACAGGTGTGAGGTGGCATCTCATTGTGGTTTTGATTTGCATTTCCCCAATGATTAGTTATGTTGATCATCTTTTCAGGTACCTGCTGGCCATCTGTCTGTTTTCATATGTGTTATTCCATCCCCTGTTCACAGCAAGTCTTTGTGATAGGTTCTCTTGTGTGTGCTAAGTCACTTCAGTTGTGTCTGACTCTTTGCAACCCTATGGACTGTAGCCTGCCAGGCTCCTCTGTCCATGGGATTCTCCAGGTAAGAATACTGGGTGGGTTGCCATGCCCTCCTCCAGGGCTTCTTCCCAACCCAAAGATCGAATCCGTGTCTCATCTCCGACATTGGTAGATGGGGTCTTTACCACTAGCCACCTGGGAAGGCCCATGGGCACTCTTAGCATCCCTATTTTCCAGATGAGGAAACTGAGGCACAGAGAGATGAAGTGAGGTGCTCAGGGTCACACGGCTGATTGGCAGTAGAGCTGGGATTTGAGCCCAGAGTCAGTGCTTTTAGCTACTCTGCTGCATTAACTCCTGGACATTATTATGATCTCTATGTCACGAGTGTTCATCCATGTAGATCTTTTTGCAGAGGTATAAATGAGATATGGACATCCTACTGTAACACATGCCTGTGTGCATGCTAAGTTGCTTCTTTTTGATGCTATGAACTGTAGCCTGCCAGGCTCCTCTGTCCACGGGATTCTCCAGGCAAGAATACTGAAGTGGGTTGCCATGCCTTCCTTCAGAGGACTGTCCTGATCCAGGGATTGAACTCACATCTCTTATGTCTCCTGCACTGACAGACGAGTTCTTTACCACTAGGAGCCCCCCCACAGTTTCAAAGAATTCATGTAGCCCGCAGTTGGCCGTTTAAAAAGTTCCCAAATGTTGTGGTTTGCTTACCCCTTGCGGTTTTGGCTGACATTTAGGTGGTCTTCTTCTTCTTCTTCTTTTTCTATCCATAATGGACCTACTGTGAAACATCTTTGATCAGACACTATTTTTTCCCAAATATGAGTTGTCTTCAGACCCCGTGGTTAATAGGTGGAGTAAGCGTGTCACAGGGTGTCAGGAGTGGTTTGGTGATTCCCACGGCATGACAGCATGTTACCAGATGGGGTCCTGGAGAAAGAGGAAGCTTACAGAGATGGATGTAACTGGTTCCCTATTTACCCACCAACTCTCCACTGTGTGTTTTGAATTTAATTTTTCCAGTTTAGCATGTCCGTAGAGTACCTTACATGTGGCTGTTTTGCACTTTTTTAAACTTCAAGGAGGACAGTGAATTTTTCCACGGATTTGTGGCCTGAATTTCCTCTGTATAAAAGAACTCTTTAACTCCTTTGACCTTTTGAAGAGGACATTCTGTATTTAGAGCAGCTCTTCAGATCTGTGGATGAACAGCTGCTGTCAGGACTGGTGGGATTGGAAACATTCTGATCCCGTACAGTCATTAAGTTGGGAACTGTTGCGTGATTGTAGATTCGACTTTAACCAGCACAAACCCCTCTGCAAGCTGATGGCTATTATTCCCCCAATTTCTAGAGACTAATCATTAGCTAAAGTGCCAGGCAGTGTATGGAGCATTTTATGTTTATTGTTTCATTTAAATGCCCCGAGAATGTTCATGCATTTTGTTGTTCAGTCACTCTCGTATCTGACTCTTTGCACACCAGGCTTCCCTGTCCTTCACTATCTCCCAGAGTTTGCTCAAACTCATGTCCATCGAGTCAATGATGCCATCCAACCATCTCATCCTCTGTCATCCCCTTGTCCTCCTCCTCCCTTCTATCTTTCCCAGCATCAGAGTCTTTTCCTGTGAGTTTGCTCTTTGCTTCAGGTGGCCAAAGTATTGGAGTATTCAGCATCAGTCCTTCCAATGAATATTCAGGGTTGATTTTCTTTAGGATTGACCAGTTTGATTGCCTTGCTGTCCAAGGGACTCTCAAGAGTTTTCTCCAGCACGACAGTTCAGTTGTTTGGTGCTCAGCCTTGTTTATGATCCAGCTCTGACATCCATCCAAAACCATAGCTTTGACTATACGGACCTTTGTCAGCAAAGTTCATGCGTGGGTGCTCTTATTATCTCCATTTTGTAGATAGGGAGGTGGAGACTCAGAGAAGTTAAGTTTCTGTCTTTTTTTAAAAAAATTATTTATTATTTATTTATTTTTTTTAACCATGTCACCAGGACTTCCCTGGTAACTCAGACAGTTAGGAGTCTGCCTGCAGTGCTGGAGACCTGGGTTCCATCCCTGGGTTGGAAAGATCCCCTGGAGAAGGAAATGGCAACCCACTCCAGTATTCTTGCTTGGAAAATCCCATGGATGGAGGAGCCTGGCAGGCTACAGTTCATGGGGTTGCAAAGAGCCGGACACGACTGAGCGACTTCACTTCCTTTACTTTCTTTCTTTACCCAGCTTGTAGGATCATAGTTCCCCAACCAGGGATCAAACCTGGGCCCCCAGCAGCAAAGTTGCCAAGTCCTAATCACTGGATTGCCAGGGAATTCCCAAGTTTTTGTCTTTAAGGCCATGCTGTAGGTGATGGTGTCCTCAGACTCAGGGCCAGGTCTCTGATTCCTCACTCCCTGCTCGGTCCCATTCTGCTCTGCTGCCCCCTGATGGGGAATCAGGCCCCAAGAGGCGAGATGCAGAGCTCACCCGCCTCCTTCTCCTTCACCTGCGTCAGCTGCAGTCACCTCTTCCAGATGAGATGCATTTTTAAGATGTATTTCTGCTTTTTACTGAAATACAAGGTGAATTGTTTCCTTTGGATAATTTAAAAGAAATACACAGCTTACTTGAGATATAATACACACACCATACAAGTAACATACTCAAGGGAATGGTTACCCACTACCATATTCTTGCCTGAAGAATCCCATGAACAGAGGAGCCTGGTGGCTATAGTCCATGAAGTTGCAAAGAGTTGGACATGACTGAGTGACCAACCAACACTTCAATTCATAGTTGATGTACAATATTATATAAATTTCAGGTGTATAACATGGTGATTCACAATTTTTAAAAGTTTTGTCTTGATGATTTTTAAAATTTAATCATCCCAATTTTTTATGTGTTTGCCAGCCTCTGTCTCCTCCCTTGATCATACCTTTTTCCAGTAGTTTTTTTTTCCTTCTGCCATGGATTAAGTCATTATGATGCTCTGGACTCCAGGTTGCTACTTAAAAAATGATTATTTTTCAGTAGACTTTTTTTTTTTTTTTTTAAAGAGCAGTTTTAGATTCAGAGCAAAATCAGGCAGAAGGTTACAGAGAGCTTCCCATGTACCTACGTCCTGCCATCCCCCAGGCACAGCGCGCCCTTCCCCCAGACCATGGTCAACATCCCCCACCAGATGGTGCCCTTGCTACAACTGATGAACCCACTCTGACACACATTTGTCACCTGAAGCCCATAGATTACAACCGGGTTTAGGTGAGCCTTCTCGGGCTCCATTTCATTCAGTCCTCACTGCATGGCTTCTGTGGTCATCACTGTTATTATGAAGCCCATTTTACAGATGAGGAAATGGAGGCTCAGAGAGTTAAGAGCCTTACCCAAGGTCACACAGCCAGTGCCTTTGGTGCACTGCCTCTGTCTGTTCATGGTTCCTCTTGGGCCTTCCCTTCCTGGAGGCAGGAGCTGGCAAGTCCCTCTCCCCCTGGGCCCCCAGCTGTGTGAGGACCCTCAGAGGACACATCCGGGGCATCGTCCCGGGGCAGCTCATGCCGGACCTGCCTCAGGGAGAACCACTGTGCATCTTCTCGCCCCCGCCTCTTTCTCTAGAGTCCCTGGAGGAGAGCCGGGCACTCTCCCCTCGTGGAGACGTGGAGCTCAGCAAAGCAGCCCGGAGCCCCCGTGGAGACCCCGAGGCCCCCGTCAACTGCAGCTCCTGCCCAGGGCCCCCAGCGGTGCCCCCTCAGAGGCCAGCGCTCCAGCTCCTCCAGCTGCTCCTGAGAACGAACCTGTCTAACACCCAGACTTTTCCCTTGAGCCCCTCAGGAGCCCAGGCCTCACCCTCACCGTCTTCGAGGCCAGGGGTGTCCGGGGCCTCCCAGCCTCCTCAGCCCTCATCGGGGCCTCCGATCCCCCCAGGAGCCTCCTCTCTACCTCCAGCCTCTCCCAGGGCTCCCGGATCTTCTCCTTTGACTCCAGCGCTCCCGTCCTCCGCCTCTGGGGCCCACTCAGTGTCCAGACGGCCTTCTCTGCCTGCCGCCGCCCCGCGTGGAGCCTCAGCCCTTTCCACGACGGGCCCCGGTGCCTCAGAGACCCCCGTCACTGTCCTCAGGCCTCGCAGGTCCTCTCCAGGCACCTCCAGACTCTCTGCAGCCCTCGCGGCCACGGCCAGCCCCGGCCCCCGGCAGCCCACCCTGGGGACCTCACAGGAGGAGGAGTCCATGGTGTAAGCAGGCCTCCGCTTCAGGGTCATGCCTGGGACACGTGGGACAGAGAGGACTCTGCCGGCGGCCCTGGGAGCTTGCAGGGCCGCTCTGGGGACCAACGAGGCTGCTGATCCCGCAGGACTCCTGGTGGCGCTGGAAAATGCTCAGGGCCTGATGTAGCCTTGTTCCCAGGAAGCATTTGGGATGTGTTGTGAGAATCCAGCAATGTGCTCTCCATGGTCAGCCTCCTGCCTGGGCCACGGCCCGCCTGTCTTTTGAGAGGGGCTGGGCAGCTGAGTCCTTGCTCTGCAGGAGGAGGAGAGTCCAAAGGGCCTGGGATTCCACTGGGACTGTGCTACCAGGCGCCACGTGTCCTCACCTGGGGTTTCCTGATTAAAATCTGTCTGGTCTCCCACAGGCTGCCCTGCTCATTCACTTCTCGCCTTTGGAAAGTGAGAAGTCACTGCCTCATCACTGCCAAGCCCACGGGGGATGAACTCGTGCCCACCTCAACCCCCAGCTTGGAAGGAAAGCCTGCGTGGGCCTGGGGCTGGATTGGGAGGGGTTTTAGGTGAGCACCTGGTGGCCTTTGATTCTGGGGCACTTCTAAAGTGAGGAGGGGGAAAGACAGATGGAGAGGGCTTTGCAGGATGGCTTCCCTGGGAGGGAACCTCTGAGATGGAGTAGGAGGCAGGTGGAGTCTTAGGGCCTGTGCTCAGCTTTAACATCTCTGGGCGCGAGGGAGGGAAGCAGGAGGCCGAAGGGGTGGGGCTGGGCAGTGCCAAGGTCTCAGCCAACCCTCTGTGGAGCTCTGAGGCTGAGATGGCCCTCAGAGTCATCCTGAGTTGGAGCAAGGGGACAGGGCTTCGTGCTTCCATGTTGACCAGTAATTCTATCTGGGCCACTTCCAGAAAGGGGCGTTAGCCAGGGCATTTCCCTGTGAGGGCTGGTGGCCCAGAGCTGCCACCCACAACCTTCTTTCCGACTTGGGGAGTAAATGTGTCCATCCTGAAGGGGGCATCTGGGTGGTGCAGCCCAGTTTCCATGACAGTTAGAAAGAGGACGGTGCTGTCATTGATGGGGAGAAGTGAGATGGGGGTGGAAGGCAGAGAACTATGGTGTCACCATGTCACCAACTTGCTACCCCTGAAACTCAAGAAGGCTGCATAATCACCTGCAGCCCCCATTGCACGGACCCCACTTGTACTGGCCCAGGCCGTCCTCCCCTTGGGTCTTCTCTGCCCTGGTGTTCACCATGTATCCCGGGAGGAGGATCCCCAGTGGTTATTGACTTCAAAGGCCATCTGGGGGCATCCAGTCCAGATGTCGGTGGAGTTGTTTAGTCGTGTCCAACTCTTTTGTGACCCCCATGGACTGTAGCCTACCAGGCTCCTCTGTCTATGGGATTTCCCAGGCAAGAATACTGGAGAAGGTAGTAATTTCCTTCTCCAGGGGGTCTTCTCTACCCAGGAATTGAACCTGTGTCTCCTATATTGCAGGTGGATTCTTTACCGTCTGAGCCGCCAGGGAAGCCCTCATGTTAGTGTAAGGAGGGGTCCTAATCCAAGCAGGGTGGCAGGAATAGTGAATTTGGAATTAGGAGCCTGAAGACCAAAGACTTTAGAGATGCAAAGGACTTAGAGACCATCAAGTGCAGTGAGACCCAAAATGTGTGGTAGAATGAGCTCTGGGGTACCATGAAACCCAGGTTTGAGCCCTACACTCTGACTAGCCATGGGACCTGAGGTCTTAGTTCTCTCATCTGTATAATGGGATTATGACAGTCCTTCCTCCTGGAGTTGAGATGGTTGGATGTGACACAGACTCCATATGTCTCTGTGCTTTGTGGTGGTGACCCTGTGCAGCCTGTGGAGCTTCACAGTGCTACCTGGGATCTAATTTCAGGATGAGAGTGTAGAACACCGGCTGCCCCTCCTCAAACAAGCCAGCTTTCAACATGGTAGAGGCTCAAAGTCAGTGCTGATTTTCTCATCATTATCCCTGTATTCAACAAAGGATGCGACTCAAGTTTTAGTACTAGTCTTCCCTGTCCAGAGCACTCTCAAGTATAATAAATGGTATTCATTTTGAACATTAAAAAAAAAAAAGGCTGAGGGGTGGGGGAGTGGGAAGACAGCTGTGAACACTTCCTCCAAGTTGTTCTAAGTATAAAAACATACTTATTTGAGACTCCCCGATCCCCTACTTACAGCTGAGACCACAGAGGCCCAGAGAGGTCAGGAGAATGTCCTAAGGTTGCACAGATGAGGAAGGCTGAGCTGGGAGGAGGGCCCAGGCTTCTGACTCCCAGTCTGGGCTTGTTTCCTTTGCGTGGCATTTCGCTGGCTTCTTCCATTGGAGTTGCACAGAGGCAGTTGATGGCTGCAGTTTGTGCGAGGGTGCTGTGACCCCCTTGTCTTAGTTTGAGCTCTGTGAGAGCAGAACCGGAGAGAGAGATTGGGTGAAAGTCACCGCCCTGGAGGTGATCGCAGGGAGCCTGGTGGGGATGAGGAGGAGGGAGAGAGAAGGGGAGACAGCCAGTCAGCTTTTGTTAAAGAGGGGGGAGACAGCCAGTCAGCTTTTGTTAAAGAGTGGGTCACTTCTGTAGACCAGTGGCATCCTGTCCTGTGGACCCGCTGGGAGGTTGTGTAGCACACGCTTCAGAATTGTCCCCCAAAGCCCTGAGGATGTCACTCTTGTCCCTCTCTTGCTCGTGGGCTGTCTGCTCCCCATTGAGCCCAGCTGTCCCCACCCAAGGACCACACCTGCCTCCTGTCGGCCTGGCTGGGGGAAGGGAAGGAGGGAGTGCAGGAGCTGTCGGCAGAGCACTCCACCCCCATCCCCCAGCTGGGCCAGGGCTCTTACTGCCCACGCTGTGGTCACCGCAGTCCCTTCTCAGGACCCCCGGGGTGGGGAGGCTTGTGCTCTCCCCACCCCTTGTGGGCAGGCAGTGCCAATTGAGACACGTGGGGAGGCCCTGGGGGGACGTGGTAAGAGCATGCTCTGCCAGCAACGAGCCCAGTATGATGCCCCTTGCCCAGGGCTAGCTGGCATCAGCAAAACCACCTTCAAGTTCCCAGATAGGCACTGAGTGCGGATTGGTGCTTTTTTTTTTTTTTTGGTCACACCACTTGGCTTGTGGGATCTTAGCCTCCTGAGCAAAGATTAAACTGGTCCATGACAGTCAAAGTGCAGAGTCCTAACCATTTGACCACCAGAGAAGTCCCTGGCACAGAGTGCTTTTCGCCAACAGATGAACTGTTTGAGCTCTCAGCAGCCTGCAGTCCAGCAAGCGGGGGTGGGGAGTGCTTGTTCTTGGGTGAGTTCATCCTGCACTCCCTCCTAGGAGTTGACCTGTCTGGTTCTGAGAAGCAGTAGAGGACAGGGAGGGTGGGCTGGAGCCTGTTCCCCCGGGTCAGTTTTACTGGATCCAGGGAATTCCAGAAGGGTCAAATGATCAAACGTGGTTCACGAGACTTGCTTTTGGAGTTTATTAGATAAACACGCTTGAGGACAAGCCACGGTAGGTTTCAAATTGGGACAAACTCTCTGAGGTCTAAAAGTACCTTTCATTAACTTATTTTCAATGCTCTCTGAGGTCTAAAAGTACCTTTCATTAACTTATTTTCAATGTGTAGTAAACCACATCATTAGAAATAAAGATCTGTAAAATTGTATGCGGGGCTTCCTTGGTTGCTCAGATGGTAAGGAATCTGCCTGCAATGTGGGAGACCTGGGTTGGATCCCTGGGTCGGGAAGATCCCTTGGATGAGGGCATAGCAACCCAATTCAATATTCTTGCCTGGAGAATAGTGAGGCATCTCCCCTCACCACATCCACCTAGACACCCCTCCCTTGCCACCCCTTTTGTGGTTTCTGGTTCTTAGGCACCATTTCTCTGTTTAAATATGTGCAAGCAAATCTAATTCTCTTTATAATCCAAAGATAGAATAGTCTAGGCTCCGTTATCACCGGCTGTTTAGCATGTGTGTGTCTTTCTTACCTAACAATCTCTTCTTGAGATCTCTCCTTCCCATCCCTAGCTCGCACCTTCATTCCTTTGCTTTTGACAGCTGCACAACAGCTCACAGCAGAAGCCATTTAACCATCTCCTGGGGGTGGGCTTTGGGTCCGTTCAAATCTTGCTCTTACAAAAGATGCTACAGAGAATAACCCTGGCCTTACATCATTTTGCACGTGTGCAAGTCTATCTTTAAGATGAATTCCCAGAAGTGAACTTGTTGGGCCAAAAGGTATATGCCTGTCTGATTTTGATGGATAGTGTCAAATGGCAGTCCTTAGGGGTTGTAACAATGATGCTCCCACCAGTGTGTACAGGTATCCGGGAGGGCCCAGGTTCCCCAGATCAGAGCAGAGACCTATGAGATGAAAATAACACTCCTGGGAAATTCTCTGGAGGTCCAGTGGTTAGGACTTGGCACTCTCACTGCCATGGGCCTGGGTTTGATCGAACCCATGTTGGGAACTAAGATCCCACAAGGTGCATGGTGCGGCCAAAAAAAAAACAAAAACCCATCAAAACACTCCTGGACAAGTATGAGTGGAAAGGATGGATTGAGCTGAGCTTAGACCCCCAAGGCCCTCAGGAAGTGGGGAAAGATGGATGGGAAATGGGCCTGAGACCATAGAAACAGAATGTGAATCCATCTTATCTCGTGGAGGGAAGTGTCAGATCAGACAAGTTAGCTCAGGGTTTTCTAGTATGGATGATCTAATGGGGAGCCTTTTTAGACTCTGTCTGGATCCAGGAGTCCCAAGGTGAGGGAGCGGGAGAGGGGCTGGGAGGGAGTGGCTGAACTGCAGCTGCTGGGCTGAGTAGGGAGAACGCGGCGGAAGAAGCAGGGAGGTTGGGGCCAGGAACAGGAGAACAGGAAGGGTCTGGGGAGACCTGGCTGTATCCCTGGAGCCTAGAATACTGCCTGGGGCATGGGAGGAGCTCAGGAAATAGCAGAAACACAAACACCGTGTCCTGAAGAGCCAGGACCCGGTGAAATTCACCCCCAGAAACCTGAGAATACACCTGTTTGTCCCAGGACCAAATATGATTAGGACAGACTGTCAGTGGGAGTGGGAGTGGACCTATCTGTGGTCTCAACCATAGCCTCTCTCAAATCGGATCCACACTCTCATCTTATCCGAGTGATTTCCTTCTAAAACATTATCTCAAATTCATCACTCAGTCAACAAATATTTATTGAGCATGTCCTGTGTGCCCGGCCCTGCTCTTGCTGCTGGTGCTTCAACAGTTAAATATTTGATCACAGTCTCTGCCTTGGTGGATTTGAAACAAGTGCTCCTACCAAGACATCATCACCAGCTGTGCCCAGTGCCATGAAGTAAAGGAGGGCCACCCCGTGAGAGGGTGACCAGGGAGGGCTTTGCCGGG